AATATTGCCAACATATCACTCGGTACTGTTACCAGGATATCAGTATGAACTGGTAATTGTAGACAGGATAGCTGCTTACATTTGCCATTAATTAAAACTAGGAAGAAAAACGTTCGATAGCTTTACAAGAGGAACTATACAAAACATTGCATCACGTAGTGAGGTGTTGTAAGTTTGCACTACTTTGTAATGAAATTTAACCGAAGATGAATCCTATCTGTGGATGTCCTGTTACCTTTTGTAAGTTGTGAAGAACTCAGTTTAGCGGTCGCTCCTTGTTGAAGCTGCTGAAGGCTTATAGGAAATAATTGATGACAGGCTAAGGATAAAGCAAGCGTGATACGTTGATAACGACTCAAAAGCAGCCAACAACAACTAGTTCAGTAGAATTACAAAAAAAAATACAAACAAAGATATCGCTATCAAACCAGAACAACATCATACATATTGCATAAAATTCCAATGTTATTGAATAAAATAACTTTTGCAAATCTTGTAACACCAGAAACGAACAATCTGGGATTCCCACAAAACGTAAATAAATTAGAAAGTGCAATCCACATAACGGATGGTAAAGGTAACATAGTTATTGTATGTGATGCTAATATTAATTTATTTCATCTTAATCGCCGACCTCTGTAATTACGTGTAATTATATGAGTGCAAACGTTTGATGAGAATGATTAATTACATCAGCGTGTAATGAGGTCTGCTTTGAACAGAGCTTGTGAGGATCACGACCTCTGACGTTGTACTGAGTTGCACGTCTGTGTGGTGGTTAGGTCATCTGACCGAATTTCTGTGATGGTGACCTATTTTGTGATGTTGGGGATAAAGGATTAAAGTTTGGTAGAGAAGACTTCTTAAGCCAGCAAAGTTCGTAGAATGTTTAAGTATGCAATGGTATTTGTTAACGTCTATCCAAATTTTTTATGAGTATTGTACTATTGAACCACTGGGAAGTTATTTAGATTTTATTTTTCTGAACGAATGAATTTACAGCATGCAGCATCCGACTTTCCCGACCGCAGGTAAACGCTCATGCAGCAGAGACGCGATACAAAGCACACACACGATTTGCAACAAACCACTCGAACCACTCTTGACATGTTTAGCTCCTCCATGGAGCATCTTCAGGAGTTGTTGACTGGTGGCTTCTGAATAGACAATATTATTGTCTCACTATTATTGTCACAATATTATTGTCTATTCTATATTGAGCTAGAAATAAAAACATAACTGTGTATTGTGTGAAAGATATATATGAATGATATGAAAGATATAAGAAATTATTATAAGGAAGACGTAAAAAAAAAAGAATGGAAAATAGACAATGTGTCATTCCAAACAACAAGAGATAAAAGCAAGATAAAATAGTAAGTTACACACAGTGAGGCAAGTACTACAGACAGAGAGAAGAAAAGACATTGATGTAATATAAAAATCTAACTACACAAGAAACCATTTTCCAAGTTCAGACACAAACCGATATATGCCTGGACCCTGCCGCCCATCACCGACACATCAAACGCCACATAAGGCCACACCCATAAAAGACAATACGTTAATTAAATAAATAATTAGTTTCAATTTAATTACCTTTTTTCACTCAACCGATCGTAACTTACACGAAGACGCTGCAACGAGAGCGCGCCGCTTGCATAATTAAACAGGGACATTATAAAAACTCAATCAGAGTTGCAACAGTAAAAACTGCCAACATTTTTTACTTTTTAATTAATTGCAATTACTGACGATCTTCATATCTTCTCAGTAATATTATAAATGCGAATGTTTGTGTGTTTGTGTATATGTTTATTGCTCAACCTCTTAACAACAGCTGAAGGTATCGGTATGAAATTTGGTACATGATCTGGCATAACACGCAGGCTTAGTAGTTTTTAGGAACGCAGGCGTAGCTGGCAAAAGCTAGTCTATGTAAATAAAACAACAGTAAAAAGTTTATCCTACATATATTTTTAAAAACAACTTGACTGCACGGTTGGTGCGGTGACTGGGCAACCGGCTGCCGCGCAACGTGTCGCAGGTTCGATTCCCGCACGGAACAACTATTTGTGTGATCCACAAATTGTTGTTCCGGGTCTGGGAGTCATGTGTATGTGAACTTATATGTTTGTAAACGCACCCACGACACAGGAGAAAACGCTAATGTTAGGAAAGGTTTAAAAAAAAAATTTAAAACTAAAATAGGGTGATAGGAATACAGTAATGCATTATTTGAATGAAACGTGTGTCATTCTGTTGGCTCTAATCTTCGTGGGAAAACAATAATACGGTTTGAATTAAAAAAATGTGTTCTTCTGGTTCTAATGGATGGTACTTCACGAAACTACTTTTGTTAGATAGCTTATAAGATTGAGCAAATTATATTATACCCTATTAAAATATTTAAAAATAAAATATGCCTAAAGTCACTAGTCTACGCGGACGAAGTTGCGGGCAGAAGATTTTATGTCGAAAACTTGTCAAATTCCGAAGTCAGGTTATTTGGTAGTGGTTCCTCAAAATGGAATACAATTTTAATGGAGTCACATAACATGTTCTTGAAGATATGACGATGTTATTTATTGTTATTTTAAAAGGGCACTGCATTTATTTTTGTCATCAACAATTTCATTGTTATGAGACAAGAATTCCACAGTTTACTGAGAAGCACTAGATGGGATCTGGTGGGGTTGTAAACAAGAGTAATTGCTGTAAGTTTAGATTAAACAAAAATATACTTGACATTTTAAGTAATTGATCATTTAGACTGCATTATAGTTAGTCGAACGAATAGTAAAGAGACTTCACAAAAAAATAAATAAAAGGTACATTATGGTTATTTGTTAATTTGATTTACAAATAGAATAAGTTTTACCTTAGATATAGATGAAATATAACGAATAATTAAGTTATTAGTTAGCACGCACAACTTACTAATAAGCGCCATCTATCATCGAGTAGCAGAACTATTTCAACAAAAAGTTAAAATCAAGTCTCTGGATTTCTAGATGCTATCTAATTCCCTTAGCTGGAGGCAAAGCTATAAATTGGTATTTTATTTATTTATTATACGAAGTAGACATGATGTGGATATAAGCGACTGATGAGAACATTCTGATAGAACAACTTTACCTAGCTACTGACGGAAAAATGCTGAACTAAACGATGCTTTTATCCTAAGTACTGATACTCGCATATCAAGCTATCCCATTCTATCAAATATCTTTAATCGAATTTCTACTTTATCGCCTTATAATTGAGTTAAAAATCGATTGAAGAACCGTAACAGTTTGCAGGCAACTACGATAATCAAGATTACAATTTTAAATGTAAAGTTTATTTTATTGAACATTTGATTTTTATTGTAAACTTTATTATTGTTGGGAGTCGTTGTTTTGAAATGATCGTCATTCCTTTACAGTTTGCTGTATATTGATTTATTATGGGTATACGGTATGTAAGTACCATAAATAAAATGATTATCAAAGGTAAGTCATTTTATAACAGCCGCTATAATATTATTAGATAAATCTTAAATGACTGAATAATATAAAATATCATTCAGATTTAAGTAAAATCGCGGGTTACTCACGTGAATATACTGAGAAAAGCTCTACCCCCTGTCTAACCCCTCTGTGGTTCGAAACTAGTAGAGCTTTTCTCAGTATATTCACGTGAGTAACCAGCGATTTTACTTAATTTACTATGTCTCATCGTCTATCGTTTTCGTTCAAATTGTAAAAATTTCAAAACACATATTTTATTTATTTATTTATTTATTTCAACTCTTACAGCTAACATTACAGGTAAATTATATAACCTAATGCGTTAGTGTGGCACTTTATACGGTTTAGTTTCCCAATTACCTATTAAGTACAACGGCCCAATACACCGTCCCCAATACTCCCGATGTCTGAATCCCCAACAATCTTAAAATTGCTAATCCCCAAAACACCCGTAATGCACTTATAACACCTCCGGTGTTGCGATGTCCATGGGCGGCGCCAATTACTTACCATCAGATGATCCGTCTGCTCGTTTATCAGTATATTCCATAAAAAACTCAAAAGGTTCCTAGTTAAGTATGAAAAGGTTTCAATAATATTAAACATACCTAAATAAACTGCCTCGTTGGCCGCAAGTGCGACTACCGAGGCAAGAGGTCTTGGGTTCGATTGCCGGGTCGGGCAAAATAATACTAGGATTTTTTTTTAAATCTCAGTTGTAGCACAGAGTTTGGAATTGTGCCCGGTATATTTTTTTTTTTTTTTTTTATGGAATATATAAGCCGGTAAACGAGCAGACGGATCACCTGATGGTAAGCAATCGGCGTCGCCCATGGACACCTAGAACACCAGAGGCGTTACAAGTGCGTCACCGGCTTTTTGGGGATTAGGAGTTTGAGGATCGTTGGGGATTCAGGGATTGGGGAGATTGGGGAAGGGGAAGGTAATTGGGCCTCCGGTAACCTCACTCACACGACGAAACACAACGCAAGCGTTGCTTCACGTCGGTTTTCTGTGAGGCCGTGGTATCACTCCGGTCGAGCCGGCCCATTCGTAAAATGGCAATAGGCTCACCCCCTATTACATGGGACTCATAACATAAATAGTGAAAAGTGGGTGTTACATTGTATGTACAGTAGCATAATGTACGTCTCTGCCTACACCTTCAGAGATGAAAGGCGTGATGTTATGTTATGTAGAAATAAACAAATAATACTCTGTAAGTTGTAAAATATTTTTGGCTACTTGTGGCAGTTGAAGACATTATTTCTAATTATGTTGCAACTGCAACTTTATATTCATATTTTCTTTTTTATTACAAGACAATAAGGGAGGTCAATATCCCTTAGCCTTTCAATTCATTCAACATAATCCGTAACCGCTCTCCACTTACTCCATTATAGACCTTATTCCGATAGTTTAGAGATTACTTTTGTATGAACAAATGTTGTGGATTTTTCGTACGAAGTATCAAGTGAAACAAAAGTGTATGTTGTGTTTAATAAATAGTCTTTATTTAATACAACGACTCTTAACATTGGAATTTTAAACCATCTATAAAAACATACCTAGTATGTAAACGAAACACTACGACGACATTGAAAAACGAACATTAATACATTAACTTTAAGTTCTAATTAATACATCTTAATTTCTACTACATTGCATTGATCTCAATTATTATTATTATTATCCATAATATTTAAAAATTGTTCGGCTCCTGGGCCTTGGAATATCATAAATATCTTCCAAAACCTTAAAATAAAAGAATAATACAATAACAAACACTTTTAAAATAATTTGTACAAACAATAAACTTCTGTTACTGAGGAAATTAGCTCCTGGTCAAGTATTCATTGGCGATTTCTTTCCAGTCAGTTGGGTCGACATCTTCCGTTGGCTTCGACTTGCGAATCTTCTTCAATAACTCCCAACCGTTAGCTCTTTCAGTCGATGTAACGTACGTGTTGTTAGGGTCCTGTTCAATAGTGTACGCCCCAAGAATCAAACTCTGGATTAAGCGGGATGAGATCAATGTCTGTAAAGAAAATGTAATTAAATAACTTGCCGCGCCATCTGTCAGTGAGTAGCTGAAGTTATAAGTTGAAGATATCAGCGGCATCTACTGGTTAAAACCTGCACTATAATCTACAAGTGCTGCTATCTGTTTTAAATAAAAAGAACTATATTTACATGCGATTGGTGTATTTTTTGTAAAAATTGGGATCTTCTTTTCGTTTATTTTTCAATGAAAAAATGTTTTAGTTACAGATAGAATTTTGACACACTTTGTGTGAAGCCTATGTCAAAATTTTAACTTCATTATTAAACACTAGATATCGATAAATTTTTGTTTTAATATTATCACCAAAGGCAACTAGAACTACAACAAAGAAGTTCTGGTTTACCTTAAGTAGCCTGTACTCGTCGTCAGGCAGACGCCTGTTGACCGTGTACCCAGCGAGGACGTAGCCTCCGACGCGAGGGTCTCCAGCAATCAGCATCATATACGTCATCGTGATGGCCAGCTCGAACACGTAGTATGAGTATTGGATGTCACCGAAGTCGATGATGCCAGTCACTCGGTAGTCGGATTTGCTGTCAAAAAGAGAAAATGTGGAATTAGAATAACGTAACAGTATCTATTCGCCAAAGATTATCAGTAAGAGCACGGAGTCAGGATTTTGCCCAGTGTATGCATATCTTACTCTGGAATTTTAAAGTAGATATTTCCTGACTTTTCTCTAGTTGTCACAGACATCGTGAGAATTTTCTATAACACCCGAATACTTTCTCTACCAGGTTTATGGAGATAAGAAGAAACAAGAAGTAAGTGAAGGCTCGAAAATACACATAAGTTATTGGTTTGTTTATTTTTCATGCATTGCATCTGTTTCAAATTGCGTTAATTTGCCACAAATAGACCCCTGTACCAAATAATACCCTTGTCGAGTTCGAAGCAAGCCAAATTATTCACTTTGAAAAGCGAAATAATGTATAATTTTGTTTAAACTTACTATTCTGGCTCACCTCAACAGTATCCCATTAAGAATTTGAGTGCAAACCCTTAATACTGATGGTTTCAGGGGCCTAAATTGATGACAAAATATTTGAATAAAAACTTGTAAACAACGCCACCTATCGATTGGGTACCAAACAAATTAACAATAAAATTTTCCATATGATTTAAAAAGAGTTAATATTAAATCATTAAGTAACTTTATTTTATATGTAAATCGTTTGATTCTTTAGTACCTAATATTTTCTATCCCTATCTTTATTTCTTCGCTATCTCCATAGAGTTTCATCATTTCATCTTCATGATAAGATACTACGGGGTATTCAGTAGAACTTACTATTTGAGATGTCTTCACAATATCATGGAAAATAAACAGACTGTAGGACGCGTTATGAAACCTGATGTAAGACAAACTTGATTAACTATAAGAATCTGTATACATATTTTAGAACAAATATTTAATAAGCAGTTTAATGCTGAGACTATGGTCCTGTGCTTACAAATGAGATGGTTACTTTGTATGCCCCTTTATCTATTCTAATTAGTAGGTATGTACACATCTATTAAACAATTCTCAGTTAATTAGTTAACGGCCAGAACAATTCGTCAAGCGATCGTAGGCCACTACTTGGGATATATAATCTATATTAGTATATTCTATATGCTTTCACTATTAACGTACAATATATTAATAATGTATAAAAGTTGAAACCACTAACCAAAGATATGAAGCTGAGCTCAAAAGAGAAAAGATAATATACAATGGTATTAAGCTGAGCTCCAGCCTTTTGCGCTGCGACGCACCATAGGCTTTATTGTGTGTTCCTAAATTCTTGTTGTGTGCAAAATAAATGTTTTTTCTTTCTTTTCTTTTAATCACAAAAGTTTATAAAATAACTACCGTGAGACATACTGAATTAACTAAAAAATTACGACAAATACTAACACAGGCACGCCAGTAGGCTATGTGACCTCAACGCGACCGCGCACGGTGCTCATGAGGAAGAGTCCCTCTGTGACTCTAAATTAGCAGAGCTTTCCTCGAGTAACTCGTATTTTTTTTAGTTATTCACAAAAGTGTTTAAGATCTGCGAGTGACAAATATTTGACTACATGATATATGGCATGTGTTGAAGTTTGATTAGTTTGACCGACCTGCCTCCCTCCTTCAGGCCGACGAGTACGTTCATCTCGTTAACGTCTCCGTGGATTACACCCTTCTCCAGCTCGTCCAGTCGTGGCAACACTGCGTACTTGAACTCTTCTATTACCTATAACAACATTATTACAGTTAATTTTGGGCTCCACAAAAGACAATCGACGATATTAAATAATTAAATTGGTTCAGAGGTGTTCGTCCAAAAATTGAAAAGAAAAGAGTCATCTCATCGCGACTGCAGCGTTAAGTTTTTAGGACCAAATTATAATGGTGGTGATGGAAACATGTAAAGTGACTAGGTTGCTTATGGGACTACATAACTCATCGTAATCCGCATCATCGCTTAGCACCAGGCGGGATAGTGGCCAAAAACGCAGAGTCAAAGTAAATGGACCGAAAATAGGAATGATAATTTAAATGACAAAATTCGAGATGACTTTTTTATAGGAAATGGGTCGGGATTTGGCTCCTATCTCGCCTGATGGTAAGCGATGATGCGGCCTGCTATGAAGCACGTCTATTCAATTGGGCCTTCAAGATTTACATTTACCCTTCAGGAAACAGGCCATTACACCCTTCAGGAAACACAGCAAAATAAAAACCAAATTAAAAAGACTACTAAAGCTATTAGATAACGATGAGTAGACTGAATAGTAAGTATTTTGCAATACTTCATGATAATAATTCACACATGCATGCAGTGTGATATCAGAACAAGTCAGGTCGATGATCCCAGCACTTGTTATTCAATTGACACTTATCAATGCAATCACATACACATAACTAACAGACTACAGTAATATAACAATAAATGTGGACCAATAAACATAAGCCAGATTAAATAACATGGCTGGAGTACTCTCCACTACAGTCAAAGGATTTATTTCAACTTTTGAACCGCCAATAATATAGAACAGTATATTCTATATCCGTCAGTGAAGCTAGGTGCTCGCTCTAAGATGTAGAATCATATAGAGAAGAACAAGTAAGAAACTCCCTAGGTTACTCTTCTTAACTTCTTAATCCACGATTATAAGAAATCCACAACATTTGTTTACACAAAAGTAGTCTCTAAATATCGGAAATAGTGTCTATAATGGAGTAAGTTGAGAACGGTCACTGTCACCGATGACTGCTTGAGGACTGGGCAGCTAAAAAAGATATGTGTAATTAGCTAATGCATAAAATTGATGAAGTGTAAAGCGTAAAGAAGCCTTCAGAATTAAAGTAGATGGCGCTCTGTATGACAAACATAATAGGTATTTCATTATCGATGTGACAGATACATCACAATCTGCAATATTTCAATACCACTAATTACATAAGTATGGCAATAGACTGCAATAAATATGGTGATTAAATTTAAACTTGACACACACACGCACACACATGGGACAGTTAAAGGTAATATACCTATTGACCTCATTACAGAACCTTCAAAAAGAGCAGTTGAGTACAGTTTATGAATAGATTTTATGAATGTATGGTAATATGAATAAGGGAGACTCTCTTTTGTTTTTTGACGATTGCTCCTCAATGGTTCTTTATACGAACACGTGCGAGCTTAAATGGATTAAATACTTGGTGCTGCTCTCGATAAAATTCATATGAGAAGGATTCTAACTAGTCTCCAATTACGTACTTACTGCCCTTTAGAAAAAGTCATGAATTTATTTATGTGTTTACATGATACCAATGTCCAGTTCTGATAATCTGGAATCTAGAATCTAGTCAATTTTTATCAATCTTATCAAGTAGTGACACGTAAACTAACCAAAGATGGGCTAAAAATATAAACCATATAATTACTGATGATGTTTTCTCACCTCCTCAGCGAGTTCCAGTTTCTCAGCATCCTTGATGACGTACTTGAACTTCTCCAGCTCGGGTACCTTGGTCAGCATCCACGTGTGCTCGCGAGTCACCAGCCCGGAGTGGTTGAAGTTCTGTAAAGAAAACCATTCACTTAATGACATTTAGGAAATCGTCGTATGGAACATCGTGCCTTCTTTCCGTCCTCTTTATGTTAGTTACGTTACGAGCTCCACGTAATAGGGACAATCTTTATGCCATTAACTGGGCACCATTCCAAAACTCTGTGATTTTATTGAGAATATCAAGAATTGACAAACGACTGCCTCGATGGCCGAGTGGTCGCAAGTGCGACTACCGGGCAAGGAGTCTCGATTCCCGGGTCGGGCAAAGAATTACTGGGATTTTTAAAAAAAATCTCAGTTGAAGCACGGAGTCTGGAAATGTGCCCGGTATATGGCTATAGGCTGACCCCCTATTACATGGGACTCATAACATAAATAGTGAAAAGTGGGTGTTACTTCTGTGTGCACCTCTGCCTACCCCATCGGGGATAAAAAGCGTGATGTTAGGTTATGTTATGAAAAACGAACATTACATTCGAAAAAAAAAAGTTATTCTATCAATTATTTTTTTATTTTATACAATTTCTTTTATATATTTGGTGGGCCAATGTTTGGCCCCTATTTCGACTGATGGTAAGCGATGATGTGGCCTACGATCTTCGGTTGTTCCTTTCCCTTATAATTTATTTACGTTTAAATTCAGCTCTCGCATTGTTACATGTAGGCACTATCTTAGTATACACAATAGATACAGAGATACCATATCCATTTTTCACAGAGATGAACATACAACGGTACATTATGTTATGTCAGTAATTAATCGCCAAACATTTCAATGTCACGTAAGGTTAAATGCCACATCCATCGTCATTCACATCGGTTGGATGTTCAGTATAATGTTCGTTACATACGACCACAATGACTTTAACAAGAGGACAATACAGACTGACGGAACCTTGGTCTGACCAGCTAGCTGTAGCTACTGTTGTGTTGCGAAATGACTTTGTTCCATATAAGGCGTATTCTTGTTAAATATTTTCGGTTTCGGCTTTTCACGAGTATATTCTGGCACCACTGTCTATTCATTGGTTTAATATTATCAAAATAAACAAGTAAGTCTAGAATGGACTACTGGCTGCCTGGCATTGATAGTATTAGCACTAGTACTATAAAATCGGAGGGAAAGGAACAGACAGATCACCTGATGGTAAGCAATCATCGCGGCCCATGGACACCCACAACACCAGAGGAGTCATAAGAAGTGTGTTGGCGGACTTTTATGAATAAGTACGCTCTTTTCAGTTAGAGAAGCTCATTCCGGAGCATTCTCAAACATAGTCATTATACAATTTCAAATCATAACATAACATCACGCCTGTTTATCCCCGAAAGGATAGGCAGAGGTGCACATTACGGTACTTAATGCCACTGTACAATGCAACAACCACTTTTCACTATAAATGTTATGAGTCCCATGTAGTAGGTGGTAAGTCTATTGCTATATACCGGACACATTTCTAGACTCCGTACTACTACTGAGATTTAAAAAAAAACCAGTAATACTTTGCCCGATCCGGTAATCGAACCCGAGACCCTTTGCCCGGCAGTCGCACTTGCGACCACTCGGCTAATAAGGCATTTTCAAATCGTTTCATAAAATGTTATTAATCTGCCAAAAGTCCCTTCCATTCCAAATTAAATAACAATTCTCACCTGCAGCTTATTATCCAGGTTGGCCACAAACTCCCCGACCTGGTAGTACAGCTGCTCAGACTTGGGCACTCCCTGCAGCAGCTCGCCAGGCACGTACTCCAGCAGGCGCACGGCGTGCTGTTTGCCTCCAATGTTCTCGATGGAGTGCAGGTGACCATACACGTTGCGGATTGGTTTCGGACATGTGATGGAGCGAGTACCTGGTGAGAAGGTTCAAAGTAAACTTGGTGTTTTTACATACTAACTAAACAAGTCCAAGACTATTGAGCACCATCTAGTTTTGAGACCCTTGCATACATCATTAGCCTCCGATACATTCATGATTTGCGTCATATAGTGTTCTTTTGTTTCTGATTCTTGATTTTGGTATAGTACTGTGAGCTACTTTTAATGATTTCCACACAATTTTGCTTAAACTGTTTGAGTGAGAAACTCTCTTTTGGTTGCTAACGGAGTCATTCAGAGGCAAATATCATAAAGATCATTTACAGTTCAATTTTTGAGACTGACTTCATGTGATTTTAAAATGAGGGCGACCTCTCAAGGCTTAAATTATGAATCACTAAGGCATTTTTTATTGTATAGGAGGCAAACGAGCAGACTGATCACCTTATGGTAAGCGATCAGCGCCGCCCAGGGACACCCGTAACACCAGAGGAGTCACAGGTGCGTTGCCGGCCTTTTAAAAAGGAATACGCTCTTTTCTTGAAGATTTGAAGGTCGTATCGGTTCGGAAATACCGCCGACGACTGAATAATAATTATAATTATAATTCTATTTCTAATCCTTCTTCTCTTAAATACTCACCCAAAAAGTTCATAATCTCATTCTGGGCCTCGACGACGGACGGGTTTTGTGAGTCTATAGAGTTCATGATCTTCAGCACATATCCATGTTCGCTGTGTGACGTGATCAACGGGTTCTTCACGTTAGGGTCCTCCTCAATCTTGTAGTTCTTGTCATCGTAGCCGTTCAGTTCCTTCAGCTCTAAGACTGAGATACCGTACAGTCGCTCGGCCAGTGACTTCACTCCCTCATGGTCGATGATTGGCTTGATAATCTGACCTGGTTCTAGGGTTGAACTTGCCATCGTTTCTGTGGATTGTGAGATGGTCTGATTTGAAGAATATGTTGTAAGTTGGAACAGATATTAATTATTTTTTGTTCAATGATTAAATTTTGTGCTGAACAACGACTCGAACAGGCCCATCAAATATAAAAAAAATATATATAGATACTAGCGGACCCAACAGACGTTGTCCTGCATATCCACTTGAATGTATAAACAAAAATAAATTCAAATTGGTTCAGCTGTTTAGGATAAATAACCTAAACATCGACTGCAGCGACATCTGCCGGGCTGATTTGTGAATCTAAACCATTCCCAGATCCAGATCCAGATCCCCTTGAACAGACACAAAAAATTTCATCAAAATCGGTCCTGTCGTTTGAGAGAAATTCAGTGACATACACACTGACAGAAGAATTATATATTTGTATAAATTATGAACCCCACAAATAACGTTCTGTTCTTTTAGTCAGTTCTCTAGCTTTTTACACATTACCAAGGGTTTGAAGACTTTAAGCCTTTTTAAGTCGGACCTTTATGTATACGAATATATGTTTAAGCGCGATTAGATGAACTCGCGGTTGGATGAACCGATGAGCATTAGAAACGATTTTCAGTAAAGTGTTTGTTGCACTGATTAGGTAGAAGGTGTTAGTGTATTAATAAATCGACCTGAAAAATATAAAGGAATTGAAGTCGGTTTTCAACGTAGTTTTTAAAAGAATCATTACTCAAGAAACCATGTAGGTATTACTGGTAAGTTTAAATATCTACAATTTCCAAAAGCTATAAAACCTAGGAGATCCTATAATAATATGGAACGCTCAACACGTACTAGAGCAGGTGTTCGCCCAGTATTATGTAACTAAGTACATTCCTAATCTATAAAAGGACTTCCAGATCCATTTACGAGTATATAGAGGGGGATTGCTTGTACGAATTTGGCAACTTCCGCTTATTATTTATTGCTAGTGATTCGTATCTGTATCAACTCTTTGCTAAGATACTTATTAATTTGGTAGTTTCCAGGGTCAAATATAAATTATTTTGATTCTTCAGTCCAATTAAATATTGAAAAATAGTTACACTTTCATTCATTGATTTGTCGATATACTTACGCGCGAAAAATGATGACGTCATAAGCTGGTATTTCGTACAAAATTCATAGAACAATATCGTTTTTGACGTTTCGATAAAAGTATTGAATATGACTAGTTGTCAACCACCGTATTATTATATGTGTATTGCATCTGTAGTATATAAGTGAGAATGAGAATACATCATTTGCCTAAACTACTATATCGTTTCTGATGGAATTTCTTTTTAGAAAAGGATAAGCTTCTAATCTATATCTATATACATATATTGAAACAAGTGAATTTATTTCTGCAAATAGGCTACAAGGCAGCACTTTTACACGTCAATTTTATCAAGCGAACGATGAGGCCGACATTTCCTAACTGACTACTCTGAGAAGAAATGCCGAAACAAACTCAGAGGTCTGTCTCTTTTAAAGTCCAGACAAATCTGTATAAAAGATTATAGACAAATGTGTATAGAAGTGTATAATAAAATCGTAGGAAAGTGAAAACTGTACATCGAATATTTTTTTAAAGAATGGTTGAGGCGTGATCTACAATCAATATCGAACCAAAAATATGGTTTTTAGAATTTTTGTCTGTCTGTTTGTATATATGTCCGGGTTAAACTCAAACAGTACTGTATGGATTTACTTGGGCTAAGCTAAGGAGCTAATTGAGCCTCCGGTAACCTCACTCACACGACGAAACACAACGCAAGCGTTGCTTCACGTCGGTTTGCTGTGAGGCCGTGGAATCACTCCGGTCGATCCAGCCCGTTCGTGCCGAAGCATGGCTGTCCCACGCTCAAAGGACCTATTTTCTTGAAAATTAGTGTAGGCATTGTTTCTTTGTCATGCGTGCGAGATGCGCATACGCACGTCTAGTCGGTGCCGCTCGGTCGGTACTATTGGCAAGGGGTTAACAACATGTTTCTAGGTTGAATACGGAACGACACATTGTCTTAGGACCGCACTGAATTGTATTGAGATGAGCTACAGATGTATGTAACTTACTAAATAAATGACGACGTGTAGGTTAGTGGGACTGTGAAGATATTTTCAGTAAACCAGTTTTGTTTTTAACCGACTTTTTGTCGGTTTTTTTTAAACGTAGTTCATTGC